TTTATACAATAACAGCAATATTCCGAGATATCATTTCGTCCAGTCACGACGTAGTTACCACTAACTAGCTCGCACCACTTTCTGTTATATATTATAGAGAATAGAGATATTATGTTTTATACATCGTTGTGTTCTAACACGTATAATGAGACAATCGACCGGATCGAATGTAGATATCTAGCTTACCGTTTTGAAATATGCACAGGATTACACATCCAGTTTAATAAAACACTTTTAACGGTTTAAAATACCAAATACGAATTTCTGCGGTAATAGGCGCTAGTTAAATTAAATTATAAACAAGTTTACTTTTAGTATATTGCGCATTTTAAACTGTTATAGTGTGTTTTATTTTAATAAGTTAATGTATAAATTTGTTATGTTTATGGTTCTATTACCAATGAAAATTTATATAATTGTTAAAATTATTTTTTATAATCAGTGCATTAAATTCGACCAATGTTTTACAGCAGTTTAAATAAATTTTAAAAATAAAGTTTAATATTTCGCGTTTTAATACGTTAAAGTGTTTTATTTAAATGTGTACTATTCGCATAAACAAGTTGTACAAACAATTGTATTCTAGAAAACAGTCTAAACTGACTACGATAACACAGTATTAAGTAATAATTGTGATACAATGTTATGATCTCGGAATATTCCAGAGCTTATGTAAATAGCTATTTTAAAGTAATATTGAGACACATAACGCCATTCTACATTTAACAGCCAGCAGTTTTAAGCGCCGCGAGTTTTATGCAAATGAAACGGTTTTCTGGTGAAAATAAAAGTTACTTATTTTAATGTTTCAATACGGACTGTCGCTAAAAGTATATTAAAATGAGAAATGGTTTATTTTTTGCGTTTGTGCTAAGGATCTGATAAAAGTGAATAGTGAAATTGAGTATTGCGTAAATTAAATACTGTTCAAATACAATACTTTTAACGGTTTAAAACGGGAAATATAACTGAACTTATTTTAAATTTATTTTAACTACAGCCCAACGTGATGATTACTGACGTTAAAACTACAGACAAAGACAATACTTAATTGAATACTGTTACTATGCTTTTAGCTGTCGTGATTACGTGGATGTACAAGAAATGTATATACGATAGTATGTATGGCATTACTGTTTTCAAAATTTATTTGAACGGAAATGTATCAATACTAGCTGTGCCCGCGACTTTGTTCGCGTGGAATAGTAACTTGGGGTAGAATTTTTAATTATTTAGGCTGTTTATTAATTTATGTAATTGTGCATTTATCGCAGCCAATTTATGTTGTAAGTGCTACTTTGCCGCAACACTCTCACCTCACATCATTCCCACTCCCACCAACAATGATCAAAGACCGGTTTTTTTTATAATTTTATTTTCACCAGATGTCGAACTCTCACCACTTTAGTAGTTTTAACCAATACTGTAAAATACCTGAATTAGAGTTGTATTAAAGCAAATTATTTCACAACGAAGAGTTATGACGTGCATATGCCAGTACGTGCCATGTTAAAGCGAAGATCAATTTTTGTCTAATTGAGCTTCACCAAGAACGCCATTGTACTCAAGCAACAATAAATTTAACACCAACTCGATAAAATTCAAAGCATTTATGGTTCAGTTTATGAACCCAATCAAACACTCGTAACATAAAACTTAGTGGTGTTTGGGAAATTTAAGGAATTACCATTTAGATACTGATAACGTGGTACTGGATATCTTTTAATTTTATGGCTAGGCTGTTCTACGGCACATCTTTCTATGATGTACGCACTGTGCTTATCTGATCATCCGTACTCTATGTCACCATTCCAAGTTATGTTTATTTTGGATCACAGAAAAATGTACTTCTTAGTTATGAATCGTATATTTTCACCCACGTTTTGTAGGACATTGATACTCTTGTCACAAATGTTGTAGTTAAAGAGAATATCGTGTCTGTATGTTGTGTAATAAATAAACACTATATGTAACGTTATAATTTGGATGACAGAAAAGTGATGAATGGAGATAAAACACAATTTCAAATAATAATAAAAATACTAGTTATATACTATATTGTACGAATGTATGCAGGACAACTTAAAATAAACTAAAATTCATTTATAAATTTATATCTATTATTATTATAACTTAGTGGAATGGAGAGCAAACCATTTTACATTAGAATTAGATAACACGGGAGTTATTTCCCCAACCTACAGTAATCCAAGACATAAAAAGACTTTAAGAAGACTTTCATAGGAGAAAGTACTCAAACGAAACCTGGAAATAGAAGTAATATTTCGTCATTGACACTATCAAATCACTCTACATTAAAATGCATGATGCATCACACCCACATAATATTGGAGTTTCAAAATCGACCTCAATAAAGTTATAAAAAATAAACATATCTAATTGCGTAGTGCGTAGGCGAGCGTGTTACTCAAAAGCAGAACGTCGTAACCGCATAGCCGCCAGCTTCAAGCCGCTTGTGGATGCCACTCGGTTTTTAATGACTCTATTAAAAAGATTAATAGGCTCTATCGTTAAAAACATCGCTTTTTTCATTCCATACAAATTTAATTAATGTAAGATACAGGCAGAGTGGTTCGTCAAGGGTTGAGTATCATTTATTTTAGTTATTTGATCTTTTAATTATGTAACTTGAACTGTGCCTGTATAGTTCTGTTTACGGTTTTGCTAGTGTTGTGTTTTTATTTGTTTTATATTTAAAATTAAAATATTCTAAAACACATCGAATGTTATGAAAGCATTAGCATTCTGACTGATAGAATTGATCGAGATATTGTGAACTAAAAAATCAATTATCGATCAGGCGTAACCCTACAAGACTTATCAAAATAATGTACCAAGCATAGTGCACATTAAAAAGGTCTACAGAAAACTCCGCGAAGATATCTCTTTTGGATATTTTTTATGATTTACTTTTTAAGTCCAATAATGACTAATTTTTGAAGCGAGTTTAACCAATATAGCTTTACCCTTATTAATCGTTTATCAACATTCATTTAACATAGTTATGAGGGGGGGGCCACAAAAAAAAAAAAAAAAATTTTTGAAAAAAAAAAAAAAAAAAAAAATTGGGAAACGTAGGTTTGGGGGGGTAACGGCCCCAAAAAAGGGGGGGCGGGCCGCTATTTATTTGTATAACAAATTTCTTAGGTTTCTATGAGTATATTTAGTAGGGAGGGTGGTAGCAAGCGGAGCCGAGGTGGGTCGCTACTTTACCTATAATCGTTTATCACATTCGACATATTATTTTGTTGGTAAACTTATAAATAGATAAATACATCGAAGTTATTTTTTTAATATTGACTAATAACAATTAAACGTATCCTTAGTTTTCAGGAGTAGCAAACATTTAAAATAAAGTTTGAACTAGTTAAAACGCCAGCTGATGAGAGAGTTCGTGTCAGCTGCGAATGATTTGAATAAAATTATTATTATTAACTTTGTTTTATAACAACGGAACAATAAACTGGATTTCGTATATGTATACGTTTGTACGTAGAGCGAGCGCAATTTCGCTTATCTCGCGCCCGCAAATCCGAAGCTATTTCATTTGCTTTTAAATTTCCTGCTATCCCCGATGTCCCCGCTCGTTAACTAAACCCCAATTCATTTCTGCAACTACCCGTTTCCCCTGACTTTATCCAATTCCATATACCTTCCCGTATTATAATCGAAAAACGCTCGAGTTTAAACTTTTGAAACGTTTACGTCCTTCTTCTTCTGAAAAGAATTGTATTTTTCAAAACATTAAATTAACTACATAATAAATTTTCAAATTTCTGTTTTTTTTTTAATGATTACTAACCGTACGTTACTGTTCGTACCTATAATGTTTTTATATTCTCTATTATCTGTGAAGATTAATTAAGATATTGATTAATATTTCTATAGCGATATTGTTTACTAGCAATAGGCGATAAGTTATAAGAAAAATTTAAATAAAACCCTTAAATTAATAACGGTTTAAAACGCGATATATATCAGTTAAACTTGTTTGAGACTTATTTTAACTACGGCCCAAAGTTTTTAACTGTTTAAGTGGTTTATTTAAATATAATCTACTTGCGTAAACTACAGATAGTATAGAAGATAAATTTATGTAGGTTAGGATTAGTAAAAAAAAATATGCTGCTGTTTTTGCTGCTTCTTTTAACAAAGGAAATAATTTTGTTGACCCCCAGATTTACTCATGCGGTCAAAATTACGTTAGAGTCCCATTTTAAATCTGTTTGATTCGGGTTTGATGTTAAATAGAAGTAAATATCCCCCTAAATTGCCTCTAAACTAGTTGTGCCCCTTGGTTTGTCTCACTTGGGTACACTTCAATGCCATTAAAACGTCGACTACGCCTGTAGCAAAGTAAACTGCGTTTTATGTACCCGTACTTTCAGTGTATCTAAGATATAATGTACTGATAGCTCAAAAACACGTATTATAATTGATTAATTTTATAGCTTTCGTTAAAAGTCATGTTTTTAAAGTTGCTTTATACAGACGCAAAATTTACATTCAAATCTATTCTAAGAACAAAAACTGTTTTATCACACAAAGCATTTTTATATCCAATTAAATACCAAACTGAAGAGCTATATTTCAGACATGGTCAAGTGTAAGTCGAACCCACACAAAGGGTTTTGCTAAAGAAACTTGTCTATTTTGTATTATGTTTCCAGTTAAAAAACATAGTACACGAGATACAGGCGTCTCGAAAGACACGGATGAACAACGGCCTCTTAACAGGATACCATTTTCCCATTCGGTACGGAACCCTAAAATGGAAAACAAAAGCTACAAACAAAAGTACATCTAAGCTCTGGCTGAAGCTTCGTTGATCGTTCCGTCCATTCATTCCGTTTAGTAGCGTTCCGACAGTCGTACGGGGTGGTTGTGTCGATGTTCGTCGCGAAATCATCGAACTAAAACACGATACGCCATGTTTACAGCGCGTCTATAGAAGGTTCAGTCCTAATGATATTGAAGCCATGATATTCAAAACGGGAGGGAAGCCTCCAAGCAAGACTCCTCCAAAGACAGAAGTGGAGAAGAAAAATATTTGTGAGAAATGTCCCGGAGACCCGTGGGTTTATTGTGCAGTGTTGTGGTGTGCGTGCGTTATGAGCCTCATATCGAGTGGGTACAGTCTATATAAGCAGCAAGGCTTGCAGGACAGACTATGGCTGTTGGAGGAGCAGCATCTAGCGCTGAGGAGTGCGGTTCTGGAGCCGCAGCAGCCGCTGGTGGAACGGTTAAGGAGGGAAGTGCTGGCGAGGCCCCCCAGCTTTTGGAGGCCAAGGAGAAGCATACGGGATTATGGTGACTGCGTTTGTCCACCAGGTATTATTTATGTAGTAAATCATTTTTTTACTAGGATATTCAATTGGATATCTTTTATGCGCAGTCTCTGTTATTATTTACAATTCTCTACCTATTAGTGTACAAACTAACTATTTACTTTGATTTTGAACATTAAAATATAAATTTTAATATTTAATAATGAACTGCATTTTATTTTAAATAAGATATGCATTAAACATATTTAAAAAGCGAAAGATTCATATTTATCTACCCACAATTCTTAACTATTCAGCGTTGTCAAACTGCGTTAAGACAAGACCTGGGTTTATGTCATAGAGACGATGGTTAATTTTATTACGAGGACTGAGAAAAGAATTACGAAAAATAAGGGTATAAATAAGAAACACAAATTAGTATAATGTATTACATTATGATCACAATAATAGATAGGCATATTTATTTCTGTTTTCGACTTATAAGTATCAATTTAATCCGTTTATTTTATGTTTACTTCTCTTGCCAATTAATGCCAGTTCTCAAGCTGACGTTATGCCAGCTTCTAGTAAGGGTCAACGAAGATAAACAAGCGTGAAATTGTTATATTTATCTTGACGTGTGCGTTCTTCACGGCAAGCTTTAAACTGACGTGAAAACTGTCCAGTGTATGTGTAACTGAGCACTTTCTTCTTTTCACATGACATGACACAATGATAGACGGAATTGGTAGAGTGACAGTTGTACGCTACTTGTTTAGAGAACGGCAACGACTTTTGTTTTTTTTTTTTAATTTAATATAAAGTTTTTCGATAGCGAAAGAATTCTACAGAAATATTGTCATAAGTGCCAATAATGTGTGAGTGCACTGGAGCAAACTGTGTTGATATTCGAGATCCGCCTGTGACAGAGCTTTTCTTAAAACAAATGATTTTTGACATTTATAAAAGCTCTGTCCATTATTAGCATGTGAAAATTATAATCACTCAGAAAATATATATCTACAGTCATATCACACAAAACATACTTAACTCGACCCCTCTACAATTTTTACTAAACGCATGGTTTATTTTATGAAAGCCCTCATTGAGTGTGTCCCATAATTTATGACGCGCTTGAATTAATACAATAAATTGTGTGACTAAATACATTTTGACTGGACAGGATAATATAAATCTTAATACCACGTGTACTCACACTGTGGTAATAGTTTTTATTGTGTTTGTTTTCCCACGGAACCCTGACAGTGTGCTACTATTATTAATGATTTACTACTGTATTTCTGGACGCTACCGTTCTGTAAAATATAATTGAGTTATATAAATAACATTAAATTTATTTATCCGAGCGACGGTATGAGTTATCTTCGTCTTTGCCGTTAATAAAAAATAAGAAAGATACGTACAGTAGAAAATTTATTAAATTATTATAGTTTACCTTAGGAGTTACATAATAAGGTATTCCCAATCTTTACAATAAAACACTTTGACGGTTTAAAACGCCATATATATATTAGGTAAACTTATTTGAAAACTATTAACTACGGTCCGACGTTTCAGATGCTCTGTAACAGCCGTAATCACGGCCGTCGTTAAAATAAGTTTAACTAATATATATCACGTTTTAAACCGTCAAAGTGTTTTAATTATATATGTACTAATCGTGTAATTTACAGTCAGTTACCAAGCTTTGTCTTGGTAAAACATACAAATTGCTTGGTCGGCGTTACTTGAGAATTCATTCATTCATTTATTCGATCAATTCAAATCAATTAGCTCGCAAAGACGATAAGTGAAACGGACATAGAAATATGTCTGCTACATTTTCTAGCTGGGGGATAAGATATAAATAAGATTTCACACTTTATAATAATAAAGAAATTACTTAGGTTTTTACGTACCCTTTACCTTTTTTTAAACATACAAGTCGATAAAAATAATTGGATATCCAATTTCATACTTAATCCACTACCCTGATAAAGTTTTAGAGATAAAATAAAAAAATGATAAGGCTAATAGCTTAATTAAACAGCCCCACTATCCCTTTATCCGGGAATGTAACAAAAAAGTTGGATCCCGAAGGGTGAATCCACATGGGCGATCACAGGGCTTTTCATATTAAAATTCCTTATCATCTTTACCCATAGTAAGAATGTTTAGTCTGATAAATATCTATTATTTCTGCTTTGTGTATCTGTTTGAAATACAACAGCTCCCTTCCTTTCCTATTCATGTTTCTAGAAAACTTTCGTTGCTTTTATTATAATTAAAACATGTGAAGTTGCGTTTCTCATACTTTTAACTTAAAAACAGTTAAACTTATTTCCACGTCTTTTTTTGGTATCTTATCTGTCGCTAATAGCATAAAAAGTAGTCGTCGGGTACAGTTAGTTTTTAATAACATAAAACTCGACAAACAGATGGCGCTAGCAACATTGACATAGTGGATACCCTCCATCTTCACTTCTGTGACCATGGCTTCTGCAAAGCATCCGAAATGTCAGGCCATAGTCAATATAAATTTAAAATAAATTAACTATTATATTTCGCGTTTTAAACCGTTAAAAGTATTTCATTTAAATATAAAATACAATCGTTCTCGCATAGAAACCCTTAAACGGACACCCCGGGTCATAAATACCCGACCTCCTCGAAAAACCTATTAAATTTTTTCCACTAGCAAGTTAATCCCGGGTCGAAAGCTGTCAACTAACCCGTGGTTATCAGGCCCGTTGGCGCTGATCGAAAAAATGATAAACTGCCGCCTGGTGCGAAATGGGAGTGACACCTTTAAGGGTTCGGATAAGTCGTTAATACTAGGTTTTATAGGTTACATTATTTATTGGAGCTTTTAAGAGATCAAAGCTTATTTTATCAGGATTGAGTCGCGTTTTAATTTAGATTTTTTATAATCTACTTTCAATTTTTATCGCTTTACGCAGGTGTAAATGCATTTAGATTATGTGTGCAAGAGGTTCAAGTCCTGCCCGAGTCATATTTTTTTTCAATTTATAATCAATTTTTAATTTTAACGTAGTTATGGAACTTCGTTGCTGGTTGTTTTACTATTAAACAGTTACCTTACTTATATGTGCTTAAAATATATCATTACATTATGAAATGATGTATATTCTTTAAAGTTTTAAAACGTATCGCCGTAAAATTAATATTAAATTCTAAAATTCTTAAAAATGTTTTTAGAAGCTGCATGGAAACTAAATATTAACTATCAAACACATAAGCTTATAAAAAATTAATGTGAATTTGTGGGAAGTGTGTGAATTATATAGAAAAACACCACCGGGGGGTCAAAAAGACCGTATCGTAACTGACGCGTGCATTTGACGGCAGTTAGGGGACCATTTACACATTTCCGGAGAAAATTCTAAAAATAGATTCACAACATTTTTTACGCTATACATCTTACCTCTACAGCTATAAGAACTTTTTATCTTAGTTTCATTATTACAAAGCACTTTATTTTTTATTTGTTATAGAACTCATTAAGTAATTGTAATGTCAAAATATGTAAGGGATATACATATATGTAAGTATATTCTAATGGTTAATAACTTATTGTATCCTAGTGTCTGAAGATCTATTTCGTTCAGATTTTACTGAATTTTAACAAACAATTTAGTTATAGTTTGTTAATATTTACTTAGAGACTTGTCTCTCTTACAGCGCTAATATTTGCTTTTATTCGTAGAGTACGTAAATAAATAAAGCGCTATTAATAGAACGCGTACAGCTAATCGTATTAGGCTTTTGAACACGAGCCTCAACAGGATTACTGGCTGCGACGATAAGTGGCGATTCGGCAGACCGGCACTATTGAGCTCACGCCAGCCGTACAATCGTTTTTCAATACGCAATCGTCCTAATTGACAAGTATTCGCGTCGGATAAATTAGATCGCAATTGGACATTTAATTGCTAGGTAAAATACGCATTTAATGCGCATGTCTCTCAAATAAGTCTGGTAAAATTGTTTAGTTTGAAGTTTTATTTAAAATGTACATGTCTTTCATTCTTCAGCACCGACTTTATTGCTTAATGATTAATCACATTCCTAGCATTGCTGTTGGAGTTTACATATGTGTGTTGATATTGGCAGGTGACACTTTACATTTGGATTAAAAAAAATTTCGAATGTTCAGATCTATATTTAAATTATTAGATGATATTGCTTTATATGATGAAATAAATGACTAAAATATGACCTTGGGTTGGACATGTGGCAAATAAAAATTGTTTTGGTTTAATTAAGCACAAAAATCTTCCTTAATTTTCGTATGAATAAATTAGATTAATAAAAGATATGCAATACAGGAGATAGCAATCTCAAACCCGAATCAGGATTTCACACAGCTAAAATTTCGTTGTCTTTTAGTTGCAGTAATTGTTGTTTATTGTTTATATCCACGTAGCTAGTGGCTACTTCTAGATTAGGTTAATAGTCAGTCTGCAAATGATTAGGCTAACCCGCGTGAGTTTAAATTGATAGTCGTGCGGACGTTTGCAAATGAGGGCATGCTACTGGCAATAGTACAATACGGTTCGAAGTTTGGACAGGCCCGAGCGTTCAGATCTACAGCTTAGTGGATTAAATGTTAATTAGATCCTTTATCATCCACATCGCCATACATCAACGAATTTACGAGTACGCAGTTATATACCTTCTAAATTTGATATATTGTTAATACTTTAGGCGTGTTTGTCATGTTTTAGGTCATCGTATATGGTACAAACGGCCTGTTGACGCCAAAACCTCTTTCGGCTCTTTTTTGAAATCATCATCCTTAATAACACAGTGGGGCGAATACAGATATAGAAGTATGTTAGCCCCATGCCCCACGGTGGAAATGGGATTTTACTTTTTCTTATAAGTCTATTTGTTTCTTGCACAAGTATTGCTCGTAATTTACGCAAGAAGTGCATAATAAAAAACCTTTCAACAATTTAAGATGCGGTATTTTAACTATGACGTGACGTTTTACATCACCCGTGACCTCGGCTTACTAATTTTACGTCGGATCGTAATTATTAATGAACGAATACATTACTCGTTTTAAACTGTACTTTAAAAAGTGACAGTGTACCACTGCAATACATATAAATTTCGACTGTTTTCCAGTCGTAGTCGATGTAAACCGACTCTTGCGGTTAAGTATTACTTCACTGGCTTCCTACTTTCCTTACTTCTACGAATTTTACTAAATACAGAAGATTTTTATTTATTGTTGTAGTATTTAATGTCTATACTAATTTTATAAAGCTTAAGATTTTCTTTGTTTAAACCCAATCTCGGGCACTACTGACGAACCGCGAAAATTTTAGTTTGAAATGTTTTAAATTTAAAAATCAAAAATAAATTGAAAGAATTTGACTCGGGCAGGACTTGAACCGGCATTTTCAGCGTTCCGTGCTGTTGCTCTACCAATTGAGCTACCCAATCATATGTAATGTACCAGTTTAAAAGTGTATTTATTTACCACGCAAAGAATCAAAAACGGCGTCGGGGCGAACACATTTCTGTGTCCTTTTTACTGATCGTTTACCCAGAGACAGCCCCTTGGTTCGCCTTCAAACCCAGGACC